ACATTACCGTTTGGGCCTGGCGGCGCTCTTGAGGCTGCCGCCCGCTGGTTGGGGCTGAACCGTCCATCTTGACGGTTCAGGGCACGGCCAGGCCTCGCAGCATAGAGGTCGGCCTCTGCCCCACCGGTACAAATGTACCGGTCCAGCCTCAGTTCGGGATCGAACCACCGACACTCTACCGGTGCGTTATGGTCTAGCGCCAGAGCGCTAGCGCTAATCTTAGCGCAGGAGCACGAGGAGCAGCAGCAGCAGCGGCATCGCAGCAGCGGCAGCGAGTGGAGCAGCAGCAGCGGCGACTGAGCAAGATCGGCGGCCATAGCCGCCTGAGGTATAGGGAGCCGGAGGTTCTCTCCTCCCTCCCATCGTCAGTCCTCTCTCTTTCTCTCTCCTCCTCGACTCTCTTCTTCTCCCTCTTCAGACTTCTTCTTCTTCTTCTTCAGACTTCTTCTTCTTCTTCTTCTTCTTCAGACTTCTTCTTCTTCTTTAGATTGGAGACTTCATACTAGTTGGACAGAGATCAGTGTTGGACTTCGGTGGTATGAGGCTGTGGTTCTTACCGGATTCGAGACTTGGAGATTGTTGGCGTTGATACTCGGCGGCATCACAGTTCGGCCACCGGTTACATTTGGACTTTGTACCTCCGACATTGGTGACTTATTGTCCTCGACATTTTGATCTTGTTTGATGACATTTTGGACTACCATATCGGTGATCTATCGGATTCTATCTCGGTGACCTTCGGTGCTGTCTTCCTCGCCCACCTCCTTCGTCTCTCCTCCCACCTTTCATCTGTGTATGTGTGTACGGGGTCTGAGCATCTTCCATGTATGGCTCAGACCACACCATCTCATGATTGTATGTGTGTGGACTGATATCTGTGTGAGTCAGTCTATGTGAGTCAGTCCGTTATCAGACTTCCACTGATTAGGTATCGCCCTATATTGTGTGAGTCAGTCTATGTGAGTCAGTCTATGTGAGTCAGTCCGTTATCATCCTATATTGGTTGATCTTTGGTTCTGCCCCATACTCGTTGATACAATCACGAGTATGTAACAGTTTTGGTATCGGAGCAGACCATATTACGGATCTGCTCACCAGGTAAGTCTGATTAGGAATTAGATTGCTTCTTCAATCTTCCAAATCAGCTCTGTATTACTATCGAGTTTCAAAGTTGCAATTTTTTTTTTTCTTTTTTCGGTATTCTGTTTATTTGGGCGTTTCCGTTTCAATTTGGGATTCGGACTTGTAATTCGGATTTCTGTTTTACTCCGGTACACTGTTTAATTTGAGTTCCGATAAATTGATACTAATCTGACATTGTGTTTAATTCGGATTTCTGATTATTAATTCGGGATTAGGTTTAAACTTTAAATCAGTACTCTGTTTAATTCGGCATTCTGATTTCACTTCGGTTTCCATTTTTATAATCCAGCATTCTGATTTTAATCCTGTATTCCGTTTTCTAAATCGGCATTTCCGTTTTATTGCAGTGTGGGAAATTAAGGTTACAAAAATTTTTGGTTTTCAATCAACTTGGGAAATTCGTACATTTTGGAACTGTAAAACCGAAAATTCCGCGGAATCGCGGAAAATTAGGGTTGGACTCCGAAATTTTCCCGAATTTTCTTTTTCTCCCTTGTTTGAGAAATTCCGAAAACGGACTTAGGCCTTTAAAAATCGGATTTTGACGGTGGAAATTCCCGAAATTTCACGTTTTTAAAAATTCGAGTGTTTTTCTTCTGATTTTTTTTCGAGAATTTTTTTGGCGAACGAATATGAATCTGACCCTCAGAATTGCAACTTCTGGGTAGTTCACTAATTAATGGTGAACTCCCGGATTAAAGATGATCTCAACGGATACCTAATCTTGATACAATTCAAATTCATTAAGAATCATTATTGCAAATATTGTTTTCTTTGATTATCATTGAGAATTATTATTTCGTTATTAATCATTAATTAAACTTATTGATTAAATAATTCGTTATTATTTCCTTATTATGAATTTTTGAATTATTTACGGGAAATTTATGTTTTTCTGTTTGATTAGGTGTCTATAGTCCATCAGTGGGACAGGGGCTGTATGTGAAGTGTTTGATTGTTCTACCCCTGTTCCCACTCTCCCTACCCTCCCCGTAATCTGTGACCACCGGAATGTCTCAGGTACCACATCAGCCAGAGCTGATATCGGTGGAACAGGACACCGGGGCACTGCCAAGACGCAGTGCCAGGCTCGCAGTTCGTACCCGTCCTGTGGTACCTCCATGACCCAAGTATCAGCAACAGCGGCTCAGCAAGCGGACGACTCCAGCGGCATCGAGTACAGCACTGACAGTACCGGTTACCACCGGAGTTCTTCCCGCATATCCGGTCCAAGGGGCCCTTGAACCGTTGGCTGACTACCTTGGGCGGCTACAAGTATTCACGGATGTCGTAGCTACCGCCAAGGTTCAGCAGGAGGCAGTAGAGGCAGAACGTCAGCGGCTGGCCAATGAGGCGGCAGCCTAAGCTCAGCAGACTGCTGAGGCTGACGCAGCGGCACGAGACAGACGGAATGCCGCCAGCACGGAGTCTTTGATTCAACATGAGAATCAGTGGACAACGCTACTCGAAGGCATGTTCTTTGTGCCTACGGAAGCGCAGGCGGCTCCGACACAGGCGGAGGGAGAGAGAAGTAACCTGGCTACCCTGATGTTGAGCATGATGAGGGGAGTAATGTGGAACAACAAACTGCTGCAGGCACACCTGCTCGCGGAACGACAGCAACGACAAAAGCACAGCAAGAGGTGGTTGTTTTGACGGCTGCCGTCCGCGACGCAGCAACACAGCGGCAACAACAACAACAACTGTTGAACTCCACTCTCGCACGCATCAACAGCATTGAGGCAACGGCCTCGGCAGCGCTTGGCTGCACGACAGACGCGACGAAGCAGCTCAACGAGCGCATCGATCACGTCGTCACTATCATCGGCGAACTAGGTGATTTCACTAGTCCGGCCACGATCAGCAGCACGGTGGCCGCCATCAAGACGAGCATCACCAAACTGCAGACGAGACCGGACGCCGCTACAAAGAATTACAAGATGCCGCACTTCGACATCAGCAAGTTCGACGACTACAACAAGTCGGACGCCTTGACATGGTGGCAACGTTTCCTCACAGAAGCAGCTTGCCGCACTGTCTCGGCTAACGACATGATGAAGGCCCTCTACTTACAACTGATTGGAGGAGCGCAGACCTGGATGAACCATCTGGCGGCTACCAAGAAATGCACCATCGCCGAACTCCACACGCACATCCCGTAGAAGGAGTTCGAGAAGCTATGGTTCATTTGGTTCATGGTCCGCAACGTCGTGAAGGCGGCCATGAAAGAGGTGTACACCTGCTCTCAAGGGAATATGCCAACTCGAGACTGGACAACCAAGTGGCAAAAGATAGTGACCACGCCAGGCTTCGATTTGAGTTTTACCAATCAACGATCCGAATTCTTCTCGCGATCATGCGCAGGACTGCGAACCGCACTCGGCAACGAGTACGATTACACCTCATTCCAGGCTATCCTGGATCGTGCGAACTTGGTCATCCAAACGGATGACAAGGCCGCAAACGAACGGCAGTCCCTGCCGCATTATGTGGCTAAGCCAGGCTATCAACGACCGATACATAACAATGCCGTGATTTCTGAAGAAACAGTCGATCTCCACGCTGTAGCAGCATCCTCGAGTGATGGAGGAATTGTAGCAGCGCTCCCGCCGAAGCGTCCCAAGAGAGTTTAGAAGAACAAGGCGACACAAGAGACGGTAGCGACGGGAACTGGGCAGCAGCCATGGACGGCATACAAGACAACCAAGGAAGTATTTGACTTACGTCAACGGTACGGATATTGCCTATGGTGCAATAGTGTCGTACACACTACCACACAATGCCCGGACAAGGGCAAGACACGCGTACCCCGTCCAACGAACTCGGAAAACTTAGTTACGCAAGGAGAGGGGTGACGCCTCTCCTCACTCTGCCGGAACCGGTTGCCTTGCTAGCAATCGATGTCACTACCGAGGAGCATGCGTTAGTCGCTGATTCTCGTGCTACGTACGAGGATTATGCCGCCCAGCTGGTACCACCACTAGACCAACCGAGCCACGTGCACTTAGATTGCGTATGTGCAGCCTGTACACCGTCGGCAAGTGATCCGATCAGTTCGCCACTGATTTTCGAGGACTCGACGGCGTGGTCAAGACTTGAGGAGCTTGACCTGCTCACGAGAGAGGATTTTGCTTGGATGCCTCTACCCTCAACCGGAACCTTGCCAAGGCTGCATTGCAACGCCTTGATGTCAAATCTACGCTTCTATTTGCACGCTACAGTACCAGCTCCGTTGACGGACGACGGAGTAGCAGTTGTCGATCTCCGCTCCTATCTTGCGAAGATTGACCGCGAGTACGCCACCCAAAGGGACGCCGAAACCGACGCCCCTTTGCTCTATATCCGCATTCAGATCGGAAAGGCAACCTGTAGTGCCTTGATTGATTGCGGAGCGTCTCGCAACTTTATGAGCCAAGCCTTTATGGCCCGCGCAGGTCTTGGCCCGCGCGTTCGAAGGAAGATGCAACCTACGCAAGTTACACTCGCGGACGGCCGCACGCAAAAGTCAATTGACCGATGCGTCGACGGTGTTCCGGTATACTTTGCACCACTTGCGTGCGAGCCAGTGTCTTTTGACATCCTCGACACCAAGTTCGACATGATTCTAAGCATGTCTTGGTTGCGTAGCACCGATCATCCGGTGAACTTTCATGACCGAACCGTTCACATCCGTGATCGGAACGGATTGTTAGTCCCATGTACGGTCGCGACCCCTCACACTTTTGTTGGTTTCCGTTGCGAAAATTCGCGACGCCATAGTTCGGAATGACGTCGAGGAGATGGGCCTTGTATTCTTGCATGCTCTCCCCGCGCCGGACGGACCAGCCGCGTCACTGCCGGACCCACGCATCACTCACCTCTTGGACGAGTATGGAGACGTCTTCGAGGCTCCCACCGGTACGGTTCCGGATCGGCCCATACGTCACGGGATCACTCTCGAGGCTGGTGTCGTCCCTCTGCGTGGATGTATCTACCGCATGAGCGAAGAGGAACTCGCGGTGCTTCGCGCACAACTCGATGACCTTCTCGACAAGGGCTGAATTCACCCTAGTTGTTCGCCTTACGGTGCCCCTGTTCTCTTCATCCGGAAGAAGGACAAAGATCTACAGTTATGCATCGACTATCGCAAACTTAACGCACAAACCGTAAAGAACGCCGGCCCTCTCCCTCGGATTGATGATCTCCTTGAGCGGTTAGGCGGCACGACGTACTTCTCGAAGTTGGACTTGAAGTCGGGTCACCACCAGATTGAAATCCAGCCTCAAGATCGGTACAAGACCGCGTGCAAGACACGGTACGGGCATTTTGAGTGGGTTGTCATGCCATTTGGCCTCACCAATGCCCCCGCAACTTTTCAAGCAGCGATGAGGACTGAGTTTCGCGACTTGCTCGATCGCAGCGTTCTCATCTACCTTGATGACATCTTGGTATATAGTAGGACGTTGGACGAGCACATCGTACACCTTCGCGTTGTTTTGAATCGTTTGAGACTAGCCAAGTACAAAGCGAATCTCGACAAGTGCGAATTCGCCARGCAAGAGCTTGAGTACTTGGGTCATTTTGTCACGCCGAAAGGCATTCGTCCCTTAGCGGACAAGATCCAAGCCATCGTGGATTGACCGAAACCCTGTTGCACGACGGATGTATGCTCTTTCATGGGTTTGGCTGGATATTATCAGCGATTCGTTGAGTTATACGCGAAAGTGGACGCTCCTTTGTCGAGACTTCAGTCCCCGAAGGTGCCCTTCGAGTTCGACGACGCAGCCCGTGGCGCGTTCACTACGTTGAAGGCAGCGATGCAAGTCGCACCTGCCGTCCGTATATACGACCCCACCCTTCCCACCCAAGTGACTACGGACGCTTCGGTATACGGTATTGGTGCGGTGTTGGAACAGTGTCACGAGGACGGTTGGCATCCGGTCGAGTATTTCTCCCCAAAGGTGTCTCTCCTCAACACTCTCGACGACGCTAGGAAGAAAGAGCTACTCACGTTCGTCACCGCTCTCAAACGGTGGCGCCACTTTCTTCTCGGTCATCGGCGTTTTAAATGGAATAAGGACAACAATCCGTTGACCTTTTACAAAATGCAGGATACGGTCACTAGCACGATCGGTCGATGGATGTATTACATCGACCAGTTCGACTTTGACCCATGCCACATTCCCGGTCCCGCCAATCAAGTTGCGGACGCCCTCTCATGACGGCCCGGTTTTTGTGTCATTGTGACCACGGCATTCGACCTGGAGGACGATCTGCAGCCGCATTTCGTCAAAGGTTACAAGTCCGATCCGACTTACTCTACGCTTTACGCGGAGCTTTCATCGGATCACCCGCCGSCTAGCCACTATCGGATTTTCGACGGGTTCCTTCTCCTTCACACGAGAGGAAAGAACTTGTTAGTTGTGCCCCAAGATCGCATCTTACGGACTCGTCTTCTCGGCGAATTCCACGACGCACGACTTTCGGCACACCTTGGCGTGAACCGCACATTAGCACGCCTCCGCCAGCGTTTTCACTGGCCCGACGTCCTTCATGACGTCACGAGGTACATTGAGTCATGTGCAGTTTGCCACCGTAACAAGGGTCGATCTCGAGTCCCCTTCGGCAAACTGAAACCATTACCGATTCCTCGGGCACCGCCCCTCTCCATTGCTATGGACGTGACAGGCCCGTTCCCCCGCGATCGCCATGGCCATGATGGTATTCTCACGGTTGTTGACCGTTTGAGCAAGTATGCTCGCTTCCTTCCTTGCAAGTATCATGCTGCAGCGCCTGAGCTCGCACGACTCTTGCGCACCGATTGGATTACCAACCAGGGTGTTGCGGAAGACATAGTGAGCGACCGAGATACTCGCTTCATGTCGGCCTTTTGGACTTCCCTCATGGCTGAGTCCGGTACAACAATGAAGCCGAGCTCGGCTCGGCACCCGCAGACGGATGGCTAGACGGAGTGAGCGCACCAGACCGCTCAGATGATGTTGCGTACGCTCATTCGTCCCGACCAGAAAGATTGGGTTGACCGGCTTCCCGACATCGAGTTTGCCTATAACACTTCGGTGCACCCGGCGATCTGCGTCACACCATTCAAGCTGCATCATGGTGGAGAGAAAACACGGATCTTCGTTGATCTCCTTTTGCCACAGGCTGCCGACATAGACGTCCCTTGCTCTCCCGCTTCCGTTCGGAAGTACCGGGACTTGCTGATCAAAGCCCACGCAAATATGCAGAAGGCTCAAATCCGCATGCAGCAGCAAGCTAACCGACGTCGACTTCCATGTCCTTTCCGCGAGGGAGACCTTGTTTGGGTCCTCTCCGAGGAATTTGCGCTCGAGCAGGATGTTTCGCGCAAACTCCTTCCGAAATGGTTCGGACCATGGGAAGTCACTTCTGCCGTTGGAGACGACCCCGCAGGTCCTTCCTTCGTTATCAACATTCCTCCGCACCTTACAATGCACCGGGTCTTCCACGCGTCGAAGTTGGCCATCTACACACCACCTTCCACCGACGAGTTCCCCGACCGTCGATCACAAGATCCGCCTTCTATGGACGGACATCAGGAAGTGGACCGAGTCATCACGCACCGCAAGTATGGCAACAAGCCAATGCAGTTCAAAGTCACATTCAAGCAATGTGCGCCTGACGACACTCGGTGGATCTCTAGTGCAGACTTGCAGACTTCTGCACCCCTTATCTTCACCGACTATGAGAAGCGACTCCTTGCCAAGGAAGCAGCCCGTCCCACCCGACCTATCCCGGTATCGGACAGACAACTTCGCCCTCGCAGGTAGCTCGGTCTTTTAAGAAGGGGGAGTGTGTTACATCTTTGACGCCACACGGGTCCTACCGGACCCGACTTAAGGCCAGAGGGACACAGTACGGCCTAAAGGCCCGACCTTGGGGTACTATAGGCCGTAAAGGCCTCATCTTGGACCAGACCCGACGGGCAGGCCCAAAGGACATTACCGTTTGGGCCTGGCGGCGCTCTTGAGGCTGACGCCCGCCGGTTGGGGCTGAACCGTCCATCTTGACGGTTCAGGGCACGGCCAGGCCTCGCAGCATAGAGGCCGGCCTCTGCCCCACCGGTACAAAAGTACTGGTCTAGCCTCAGTTCGGGATCGAACCACCGGCACTCTACCGGTGCGTTATGGTCTAGCGCCAGGGCGCTAGCGCTAATCTTAGCAAAGGAGCACGAGGAGCAGCAGCAGCAGCGGCATCGAACGGAGCAGCAACAGCGGTGACTGAGCAAGATCAGCGGCCATAGCTGCCTGAGGTATCGTGAGCCGGAGGTTCTCTCCTCCCTCCCGTCGTCAGTCCCCTCTCTCTCTCTCTCCTCCTCGACTCTCTTATTCTCCCTCTTCAGATTTCTTCTTCTTCTTCTTCAGACTTCTTCTTCTTCGTCTTCAGACTTCTTCTTCTTCTTCTTCAAACTTCTTCTTCTTCTTCAGATTGGAGACTTCATAGTAGTTGGACAGAGATCAGTGTTGGACTTCGGTGGTATGAAGCTGTGATACTTACCAGATTCGAGACTTGGAGATTGTTGGGGTTGATACTCGTCGGCATCACAGTTCGGACACCGGTTACATTTGGACTCTGTACCTTCCACATTGGTGACTTATTGTCCTCGACATTTTGATATTGTTTGACGACATTTTGGACTACCATATCGGTGACCTATCGGATTCTATCTCGGTGACCTTCGGTGCTGTCTACCTCCCCCACCTCCTTCGTTTCTCCTCCCACCTTTCATCTGTGTATGTGTGTACTGGGCCTGGGCATCTTCCGTGTATGGCTCAGACCACACCATCTCACGATTGTATGTGTGTGGACTGATATCTGTGTGAGTCAGTCCGTTATCAGACTTCCTCTGCATACATGCTCATCCTATATTGGTTGATCTTCGGTTCTGCCCCATACTCGTTGATACAATCACGAGTATGTAACATAGGGGGAGGGGGAGGTAGGGGGGTTGGGGTGGCGGGGGTGGGCGTGTTGGGTTCGGGTCAGGTGGCAGGTCGGGGGATCGTTCCACTTGCAGGAGCGTCATTAAAGACCAACTGGCGGGGTCATAGGGGGTTCAAGGGGGGTGTGGGGGTGTAATTTTTTTATTTTTTTTTATTCTCTCTCTCTCTCTCTCTCTCTCTCTCTCTCTCTCTCTCTCTCTCTCTCTCTCTCTCTCTCTCTCTCTCTCTCTCTC